GTGACTGGAGACTAATTCCGATAATCACCGATAAAAGTAGCTTCCCCGTTTCAGTTCCCGCCTCGCAGAGGTATTCACAGCCTGCAAATATTCCCCTTTTACCACCAGAGACTTTAATTTATCAAATGTATAATGGTATTGCACATCTGTGTGAATTAATGTTGAAATATTTTGAGCTGTTCTATAAAGGCTTAAGAGGTTTGTTGGGCAATACTACACAACGAACAGTGTTACATAGAAAAAGGAACCAAGCAGGCAAGATGGGGATATGGTTGCCTTCAGTGGGATCTCTAATAGAAATAATCACTTCCAGGAAAATCTGGGGTCCCATGCAGGAGATATTTATTAAATCTCTGTGTTAATACAGGACAGAGAGAACAAAGATAAACAAATAACACACAGTAATATATATATATATAATCCTAATTAAGTCATAAAGGATCAGGGGCAACCTGACTCAGAGTGAATATCAGCACTGGAAAAAAATTATTAGTAATTTTTTCTTTAAATAAGTGTTTTTGTTCTTGAATTGAGGAGGTAAAAGAGACATCTTGCCAATGGAACAAGACAATTTACATTTAAAATAAGAAAAAAACGATTGCATTGTCTTATTTCAAGTGCATATTATCTAATTATCTTACACCAAGAGTTAAAATACTCATTCCATTGGCAAACTATCTCATTTACCTACTTAAATTAAAGGTGAATACACTTATTTTAAGAAATTTTTGCTCATTTTCAGAATGTTTTTGCAGTGAGCAACTAATTCATATAAATAGGCTTTATTGCACATAAGTTATTTGTCAGAAATATTACTTTTAATTAATGACTTTACCCCTGACAATAATCTAATACTATTTTTTTTACAGAAACATGGTTACATGAATTTAATGAGGCGCCCGTTCTAATAGAGTAATGGGGGTGAGAGCAGAAAGCAAAGAAAAGGTTAAGAAGTTTCCACTTTGTTAAAAGATTCACTTACAGCAGAACTAAGTAAAAGGAAAATAGCAGTTTTGTAAACATGATATGTAAATGTAAAACATACCCTCCTAGAGATGCCTACTACGCAGCTATAGCGCCACCATTGTCTACGCAGAAGACACATACAGAGTGACCAAATGTCTGAAGAGATGGCGAGTATCCCAAAAACGTTAGAAAACAATCCACTGGACTTTTTTCCCCCCAAGTTTTGAAGACGTTTCACTTCCCATCCAGGAAGCTTTTTCAAATTAAAAATGTCTGAAAATGCGTTGAGTTTATAGAAAGGACCAAAAACACAGCCTTGTTTTGGCTTAGAACGGATTTCATGTCTGTTTATCCCAGTTTTGGGAAATGATGGTAATTTTCAGTAACCTGACTCTGCCAGATGGATTTGCTCTGCATATCCATCTGGAAACCTTCTGTTGAAGTAATTTTGGGAAGGGGCGAAAATACTGGTTAGCTGATTGGCCTATGTTGGTGATAGACGGGCCAAATAAACCAATCAGATCAACGAAGCATATGACGTACTAACAGAGCGACAACGAAAACACAACCACAAGCCAGGCTACTCTTGTCGAAACCAGTCGGGAGAAGAGCAAAAACATCTTTTCCTCTGAGAAAAGCCTCCAGAGCAGTGTTTTGCTCTTCTTTCAGTGAACAAATACTCTGTAATTCTGATAAAACTTGCTCGATAGCCACGCTAACGCTAGTTTCATCGGCTCAAGCCGCCATGTTCTTTAGACTGAACTGTCGCGCTTCTCGTTGCGTCACACCTCAACCCGCCTCAAAGCCAACGCTGATTGGACGTTCGTTTGGTGAACGGCTCCAAATTTTCTTCAACAGAGAGTCTCCAGACTGATTAGCGAGTGAAACCGTTAAAGCTCGCGAGATCAGGATGGTCTCACGAGGCTAAATTTACAGATATTCAGTCATGTGATGCATCCCAAAATACTCTGACACAAGTACCTTTATAAAAATTAAGTGTTCCTGCATCTTAACGTCCGAATCCCAAAGCGTACAGTTATCTTGTGCATTTTGTACATTTGGTACAATTTACATAAAATTACTAAACAAAATCATCGTAAACCAAAAAGTTCCTTCCAAGATCCATCAGATGAACAATCGACCGAACACGTCTCCCATCCCAGTCAGTGCAAAAAAAAGAATTTTCTTCTCGATAAGATCCACCTGTTATCCCAGATAGGAAAAGTGTGAGCAGTAAAATGATCATGTTTACCAAAAACATCTAATAGCTCAATATCTTGGCTTTCTTAAGAAAAACAGTCAATAACTGCAGCTAAAATAAATAACAAAGGGAGAGCAGAGGAAACCCTGAACTATTGATCTCCCTATGCATTAAATCAATCACTTTTATAAACCTTTCACCAAAGCCAAATTACTCTAATGATTTAATTATAACAAAAAAGCATGAAGCAAATAAAAAAAAAACAAACAGGCACGGGATTAAAAATATATTAAAATAACTACATGAAGTGAAACTTTCTTTTAATTAGGTTTAATTAAAATTATGTCTTCATAAAGTTAAGGGGTGAACTAGAAAATGCAGAACGGGCAAGGGCGGTTCCAGACAGGGGCCAACTGTCACGATTTGTTTGGAGGTTTTTATGAGGACCCAAGTGACAGGCAGAGGTGAGTTCTTAAAAGGTTTAATTGAAGATCAGGCAACAAAAACAGGAATCCAAAAATCCTACATAAAAATCAAACACAAACCAGAACCATGGAGACATCAGGGGAAAACCATCAAGGAGCCAGGGTAAGAAAAAGGTAAAGACGAGGAACCAGCAAAGAGGGACTGCAGAGGGAGTGTATTTATGGCTGACTGAACAAAGGTAGGACTAACGAGCTGATAAGGAGCAGGTGTGAGCAGAGCTGATGAGGAAGCCAAGGGAAAAGAACACAAGGGGGCAGCAGAGGACAGACAGAAAAACCTAAGCAACTTAAATGAATCCAGACACCAATAAAACTAGAAAACAAGGAAAAATCTGGATGCACTTCAAACTGAAAACTTAGACAAAAACAACAGAACCAAGATCGTTAGTGACCTGTAGCTCATAAAACATTTATTGTTGGCTTGAAAATGTTCGTTTGTATTAATGTTAAAATCGAAACAAAAATCCCTTAGCATTGCAAAAAAGCAACTCAAAAAATTGTAGCTATATAAATATCTAAAAGATCAAATAAAGCTCATATTTTGGAATATTAGGTCGAAATACATTCATAATTTAGGAATTTTATATATTTTTAACTTCACTTAATATTAAAATCTGAATTGGAACTCAAGAAAAACTGATAAATTCAGCTGTAAAAATGAGAGTAAAAAAAAAAAAAGAACATTTAGCAGATGAAAACTGGGATGCTGTCTCAATATCACCTTATTGGTTTTAAATGAAAAGAAAAACAGAATTTGTAAAGAAAAAAAATGAAAAATACCCAAAGGAGCTCTCAGTAACCATGTCTGTTCCAGCGCAGATCATCATTAGAATTTCTTTTAGTATTATGTCTTCAGTACAGGAGCGAGGACATCGTCTACAGGGGCCCCGTTGGCCCCTGTCTAGAACCGCCCATTCTGCATTTTGTAGTTCACCCCCCAACTTTATGTTTTCCCTGCTTTTTCTCCTCACAGTAGCTTCATCTGGCCTGTCAGATAATCCTGTTTCAAAACATTAACTGGGCTGCTGACATCACCCACTAAAAATGTAGATTATAGAGTTGTGTTTTTCAGTGCGAAGTCCTGTTTCTCTCCTAGATATAGCTTGTCACTCAACTCTTACCGTGACTAATTATTTGTGTGCTCTTCCATCCCTTTTAATGTGAAAACTGACTTATAGCTCATCTGCTTAACCGGTTCTTTTCTAGAGCCAGCTGTGGAGAATCTAAAGCATCTGTGCTTCCATGTTTGTCTCCTGAACCCTCACGTCGAGTCTGCTGGAGGTGTCTTCCTGGGTTTTCCAATCTACTGTCACTGCATGCATGTCCAATGTGAGGGATTACTGTAGAATCAACAACGCAATGCAGCAAATATCTACTGGAGACAAATTTTCATCCAAGAGAAACCTGCAAATTGCAATTAGCTGCGTTTGAATTTGATATAAAACGTTTCACCAATCTGACTGTAAATTGCCTTGAGATGTTTTGTGTTACCTGTGAATTGAAAAACTAATCTAATCTCCTCTCAAAAGCTGTCAATTTTATGGTCTTATTACCAAGAAGAAATATTTTACAAGAGTAGGTAATCCGTAAAGTACTGCCACCTGAGTATACATTGATATTAAACAGAAAGGAAGTAACCAGTATGATGTCATCATCATGAAACACAATTCTTTATCCAGTCTAAATTCTATGATGGTTGATTTATCACCATTGTGCCCTATTGTGACCCCTGTATAATATTGGGTCAGCTGACAACCCTGACCCACGGCCACCATTTTTGAAAATAACAGCTTAGCTTCACATTTCAAGCTAATTGTCTGCCGAATATGGTTTAATATGCGAGTATCATTGATTATTAAATATCAGTTGACGCTGCTTGTTGTAATTTTCTGTGTGGAAGGATCTTGGACTTTGGATTTCTTTTCCAATCGATACTTGCACGACAAAGCCACAGCCCACAGGAATATAAAAACACCTAAAGACACAAAAATATATTTTCAGCTAAACCAACATATATCAATGTATACCGATATTTAAGCACATATACTGACCTTGCAGAGAGGTAAAGATGGTGAAAATGTAGATTCCAGATAAAGTAGCATAAGTGAAGCTGGCCAATCCCCATGGCAACCCAAGGACCCAGCTAAGGCCCAGAACTTTAGCAGCGTCCTTCCATAACCTGGACCAGTTTTCCTTGTTCATCTTCCAGTCACTGCATTTACAGTTCCTTTGTCCACCTCTTAACTTCCAGATCTTAGACACCACCACCAGCAGCATGCAGGTATTATACAGCACAGTCAGGCAAAGAAAAGCCAGAGTGATGTATGAGACTACATGTCTCTGTTGGAACTCGCTGCTCATCCAGCATCTGCTCAGTGAGAATTAACAAAACAATGAAACTGAGGTCATCGGGGTGTTTCAGTGAATCTTGGTTGCACATGTAAACTGTGGTAGTTTCTTACATTTGTGATGGTGATGTGTTGTTATTGGAATCCCTTATTTCCATAGTGTATCTGCCATAAACACCTAAACTCCCACAAATCACTGCAACAAGTGTAGGAAAGCCTGAGGAGACGGCAAGAGAAAGATCAAACCTCAGCTACATTAGTGAAATCAAAGTTAATCTGGTTTAACTTCACTCCTAAACTCACCCCATCCCACTATGGAGAGCTTTAGCAGGTATCTACTGACATAGATGTTAAAGACTCTAATGAGGAGGAGATAAAGGTGGAATCCTTCCAGGGCAATCCAGGTAAACGTAGCCAGCAGAGACCAGTGCAGGAAGAGACCCAGACCTCGACAAACCCAGCCGCCCTGATCCTCTTTAAGCAGATGAACCAAAAAACTTGAACTCAGGAAGCCGAGGTGGAGGCACAGCAATGCCCCAGTCAGCTGCATGTGGATGCCGAGGGCCTTCTCGGGCCTCCGCCGACTGCAGGAGAAAAGCCACAGATGCATTATTAGTTTTGTGGTGCTGTTAGGTTTCTGTTATGTTTTTCTTTTGAGTATTCAGTCTTACTTTACTCCTTGATTTCTAGTGTTTAGTTTTCTTTTCAACATGTTTTATAGTCCTAGTTATTTGATTATCATTTTGTTGTTATTTCCAGGTTTCTATTTGTTGCTCTCTGCTGCCCTCTTGTGTTCTCCTGCTTCCCTAGCTCTTTCCCTCTCTTGTTCTGTGCACACCTGCTCCCAGTTTCCTCATTAGCCCCCTCTCTGTCTCAGTCTCCTTTACAAAGCCCTCTCTCTTCAGTTCCCCTTTGGTGGGTCCTCGTCAAACACCGTCTGCACGCTCCAACTCCTTCTCTCTGTGCCTTCCTCGTTATGTTTGTGATTCCCCTGATGTCCCCATGGTTTCTGGTACGTTAGACTAGTTTTCATGTTTTTCATGTTTTTGATTTTTGGACTTCTGGTTTCTTGTTTGTTTGGACTTTGTTTTCCTTTTAGATTACCAGCCTCTGATTTCTGTTAAGTCATAATTAAATCCACAACAGATTCACCTCTGCCTCTCTGCCTCTGCTTTTGGGTCAACACTCAATACCCAAATCCTGACAGATGCGGTAGTTTCTGCAGACTTTTGTTCTTCTACATGGTGTTATGTGCGTCGGGCACATTAATTATTTTTGTTTCTTTTTTCTTTTCCCTTTTAGTGTTGTATAGACCTTAGTGAGTCACTTAAGTTTTAGAGTTGATAATTATTTATTTTTTCTCTTGTAAATCGATTACGTTAATTTGCGTGATATTGGTCCGCCTATAAGTAGGCAGGGTTTTTCTCTCTCTCTCTCTCCCTTCGAACCTTCTGATCGAGCCACCGTCACAGAGAGCGCGACCAGACGCGATGCGCACGTCTGCGGTCTTTGTATTTTGTTGCATTGGATCAGCTCACCAGGTCCAACTTTCTGTTCATACTTTGGGGTTTTTTTTCTCTTAGTTTTTTTTTGGGACACGGGGAACTGGGGAAAAATCTGACTTTCTGTTTTTTTTTGTCTCTTTCCAGAAAAACAAAACAACTGATCTAAAAGTGGACCACATTAGTCCAGTTCTCAGGTCTTTACACTGGCTGCCGGTCCATCAGAGAATAGACTTTAAAGTTCTGTTGCTGGTCTATAAAGCTCTGCATGGTTTAGGCCCAAAATACATCAGTGACCTCTTGACCCAGTATGAAACTACTAGACCCCTCAGGTCATCCGGATCCGGCCTTTTATCAGTTCGCAGAGTCAGAACCAGACATGGAGAGGCTGCGTTCAGCTTCTATGCTCCACATGTCTGGAACAAACTCCCAGAAAGTCTCAGATCAGCTGAAACACTTAGTTTATTTAAATCAAGGCTGAAGACCCACCTGTTCTCAGCTGCATTTACGTAGATTCCATTCAAAAGTTAAAATTCGCACGTCTCTGTATTCTCTCTTTTTAATCTTAAATGTTTTTCATTTTGAATCACGCTTTTAATTGTTTTTAAATGTTTTCTCTCCCTTTTGCTTATAATGTTTTATGTAAAGCACTTTGAATTGTTCTGTACATGAAATGTACCTTGCCTAAAAAGAAGTTCCAGAGATTAAGAATAAAATAATTCTTTTGAACCTCATGTTTGTTTCGTGTCCTCAAATATGTTGTGGCCTGGGTGGTCGTAACAATGGCCACATAAAAGCTTGATGTCATGTAGTGTGGTGCAGCAAAGCACGTAGAACTGGTGAATGACACAGGGAGTAAACCTTTAAAGCCACATCTGAAATCTCCACAGTTCACTTTGGTTAAGTGTCTTTACACTTCATGAGCCTCTTGGACCTTTGCAATGTATCTGAAGTATTGCTTTATTGCAATTGTCACAAAGGCCTACTGCAACACCCAACATGCTAAATGAGACTTTGGGCATTTTAGGAGTTTTTGTTCTGCCTTGGGCGCTGCTTCAGATATTTCAAATTTGTTTGGAAACAATATGTCTAACAAAAGACAAGCCTATGTGGCTCTGTGGTTTGTGTTTTTTGCTTCCTGGTCAAACGGTGCCATATAATCATTGACTGGAAGATTTTATTTAATACCTTTTCATATATCTCGGTTTAATGGCCTTTGTTGGAAAGAATAAGCAACTTTTCTTTGCTTTCATTTTTTGAGATGCACTATATGTCATATCATAGTTTAAATTTGTTCTCATGGGTAAAAAGTGAACTATGTTGCACAAATAAAACCAACAAATTAGCATTTATTTCATCAGCGGAAATGTGATGAATGCACCCATGACATAAGGAAAAAAAAGATATGATTACATTAGAAAAATGTGGTCTTGTGGCTCAACTTGGCGCAGCTTAAGTCTAAGTTGTATCAAGTCAGGTACAAGGAAAACCATAAACTATCAGTAAAAAGTCAAATAGAAATAAATTGTCCAAAAATATTTGTATAAATGTAATTCTAACAGTTGAATACTATTGAACAGTAAACTGTGTAACAGTAATATTACACATTTCATCGCTCAAAGTTGCAGAGAAATATGAATTGCTGCTTTCTTGTGCAGCTTCTCCATCTTTCCAAAGTTGCTTCTTTATCATTTCAATCTGACACAAAAGTGTAAGTTATTTTCCTTAAAAGCAAAGCTTCTCTTTGGCAGTGATCCCTCACTCAAGTCCTCACTCAAGCCGATGCGTTAGGATGCAGAGTTAACTAGAACAAAGCCACCGATGGATCTTTTCTCAGAAACAGGAGGCGATGGTTCATCATTTAACTGGTGGCAGATACCCGTCTCCGTCATTGTGTCCTTGGCTACTGCACTTCACTTTACCTGGTTTGGCTGCTGTTAGTGGTCAGAGGTAGCCTGACGTAGTCCTACTCAATTCTAGTCAGAATATGAGTCTGATGCTGCTCCATAGAGCTGTGATTATGGGGCGTGTTTCGAACGAAGCAGAAAAAAATGCCTCTGCACTCAATTGGATAGACCTACAACCAATAAGAGCAACGGAGTGCGTGACGTATGTTAAGCGACCAAGGGAGCCAGCTGATAAATTAAACTTTTGCCGAATCCCGTAGGAAGGACGCCAAAAACATCTTTCTTTTCAACAAATGCCTTGATCGCGTTTCTCTGTTCCTCTTTTAAAATTAATTTGCTGTCGATATCTTCTAGAACAGACCTAATAGCAGAATCTACTCACCTCAACTCTCCAGCGGCAGCCATTGTTGTTGTCACCCAAGCGCGCTTTGGTCACGTTGTTGATTACGTTACTGTTGATCATCTGTCCATCATCGTATAAAGTCCGCCCTGACAATTTGATTGGCCCGCCAGATATTGTGCTAGCATACTCGCGCTACTATTGAGCAATGTCAGACCGAACTTACCGTCCTCAAACGTTGTGGGCGGGACTAAGTTCGGAATTGCACCCAGGCTAGGTCAGAGGGCCTGGCGGCACCGATTGTGGCATCCTCAGGACTGTAAGTCTGACCCACGGCAGTGGTGGAAATACGGCTTACCACAATGCAACTGTGAGCGTGGCTGAATGTAATGCAAACGCTTGATAAAGCGCTGTATACATACATCCCATACCAGTATATTCAGTTACCACTAAATGAGCCATTAAAATACACTTTTAGAGATTTTAGACAACGGCTCAATCCCAAACCGCCCCCTAACCACTAACCCTTAATTATCAAGTGTCACTTCCAATGAAGTCCAACTCACAGCTGTGGAAGGCGCCTTTGATTGAAGGTGGGGTGTAATGAGAAGAGACGGCCTCTTCCTCCAAAGGAAAAAGAAAACAGTTGTTGCTATGGCAACACAGTGACTCTCAACTCGCAAATGTCGACACGAAAGGAAATATATTCCCCTTTGTTTAAAAAATAAAAATCTATCTGGTCAAAGGACCCAAGTTATGCCTTTTTTCTTTTTCCCAACATGTGATTTTCTGTCAGAGTGACAAAGATGCAGCAAACCAGCAGAACTAACATTTGAATGTTAGCGTTTCCTCCGCCATTGGTTTGCTGTAAAATTCCATCCAGTCTGCACTGATTCAGACTGGATATTTAAGGGCTCAACGGTCCACTTGCCCTTACCTACTACCTAGTTTGGGATGGCCCATAACGTGGCGGACTCTCCATGGGATTAACCAAATGGAGAAGGCTGCTCCTCTCTAAAGTTGTAGGTGACCGCAGACAGGAGGCCTCTGATTGGTCAAATCTACATCCGCAAAACTAATACCCTTTTGACCAGTAAAAAAATGGTTTTTTTGGAAAGAAAACATGCTTACCACATTACCACATGCTTCCATAATTCAAATGGACAGCAAAATTGAGGATGCCTGCAGAATCTATGCTCACATGACAAAAAGTGTTTGGTAGAGGGCATGAGTCAACTTATTAACTGGTTCCTCTTAACCCAGTCTCCCCTAATTCTGACAAAGGTACTAAGATTTAACGGGACTTTTTAGCTGTAATGTAAAGTGGGTTAATATGAAACATGATTTTGAAATGGTTATCCTGAGTTACACTATATTGCCAAAAGTATTTGCTCACCCATCCAAATTATTGGAATCAGGTGTTCCAATCACTTCCATGGCCACAGGTGTATAAATTCAAGCACCTAGGCATGCAGACTGTTTTTACAAACATTTGTGAAAGAATGGGTCGCTCTCAGGAGCTCAGTGAATTCCAGCGTGGAACTGTGATAGGATGCCACCTGTGCAACAAATCCAGTCGTGAAATTTCCTCGCTCCTAAATATTCCACAGTCAACTGTCAGCTGTATTATAAGAAAATGGAAGTGTTTGGGAACGACAGCAACTCAGCCACGAAGTGGTAGGCCACGTAAACTGACGGAGCGGGGTCAGCGGATGCTGACGCGCATAGTGCGAAGAGGTCGCCAACTTTCTGCAGAGTCAATCACTACAGACCTCCAAACTTCATGTGGCCTTCAGATTAGCTCAAGAACAGTGCGCAGAGAGCTTCATGGAATGGGTTTCCATGGTCGAGCAGCTGCATCCAAGCCATACATCACCAAGTGCAATGCAAAGCGTCGGATGCGGTGGTGTAAAGCACGCCGCCACTGGACTCTAGAGCAGTGGAGACGCGTTCTCTGGAGTGACGAATCGCGCTTCTCCATCTGGCAATCTGATGGACGGGTCTGGGTTTGGCGGTTGCCAGGAGAACGGTACTTGTCTGACTGCATTGTGCCAAGTGTAAAGTTTGGTGGAGGGGGGATTATGGTGTGGGGTTGTTTTTCAGGAGCTGGGCTTGGCCCCTTAGTTCCAGTGAAAGGAACTCTGAATGCTTCAGCATACCAAGACATTTTGGACAATTCCATGCTCCCAACTTTGTGGGAACAGTTTGGAGCTGGCCCCTTCCTCTTCCAACATGACTGTGCACCAGTGCACAAAGCAAGGTCCATAAAGACATGGATGACAGAGTCTGGTGTGGATGAACTTGACTGGCCTGCACAGAGTCCTGACCTCAACCCGATAGAACACCTTTGGGATGAATTAGAGCGGAGACTGAGAGCCAGGCCTTCTCGTCCAACATCAGTGTGCGACCTCACAAATGCGCTTCTGGAAGAATGGTCAAAAATTCCCATAAACACACTCCTAAACCTTGTGGACAGCCTTCCCAGAAGAGTTGAAGCTGTTCTAGCTGCAAAGGGTGGACCGACGTCATATTGAACCCTATGGATTAGGAACGGGATGTCACTTAAGCTCATATGTGAGTCAAGGCAGGTGAGCAAATACTTTTGGCAATATAGTGTATATCTATAGTTATGCTGCTAATGGCTTAGACTGCTGGAGGACATAGGGACCCCTTTTTCATCATTCTGCTTCATTCTACCTCTATTCTCCCACTCTGCAGAATCTGTTAGTTCAATCTCTAACGTTCTGCTCTCTCTGCTTTTTCTCATAGTAGCTTCATCTGGTGTGAGGGATTGCTGAAGAGTCAATGAGTCGATGCAATCAACTGGTTTTCCTTAGATAGAAAACTTTGGATCAATTTGACTGGTTGAACTTTAAAGTGCCTCAAGATGACATGTGTCGTGAATTTTGCGCTATAGAAATAAACTGAATTGAATTGAAATGTGTTGTGCATTTGTATTTAACCCACATGCATCCATACTTTTGGAAACACCTTTCCATAGAGGGACATTTCTGCCTATTTTTTCATCTTTCAAAAATTGAAGCTTAAACAGTTCTGATAAAGAGTGTACGAGAACAGAAGCGTTAGATTTTTGTAATGTTGCGCCGCTGCCATTTTTTGGCCCTGATACCGATACCCGATACCTGGCTGTGCAGTATCGGCCGATACCGATACCATCTGTTTAAAATTTGATGTGTGTGTATATGTGAAGAACTGCAGACTACTTGGATGTAAAATAATTGCCATCATGGCTTTGTCAAGCTGCTGCCTACCTTTGTGAAGCACGAAAAAGACTAAAACAAAGGGAATCCAGTAGAACTTTTATTGCCTACCTGGAATCGGTGACAATAGTTGAAGAAACTTTTGTCTCTCAAAATGGTATCGATGCCCTATTTGTTTGTACTCGTCGATACCGATGCCACCATTTTAGAGCTGGATTGGGGCCCCATCCGATACTGGTATCGGTGCAAGACTAGATTTTTCCCCCGGTTTTTATGTTTGATTTAGTCTCTAACTTCAATAAGATTTACTTTAGGATTAACCTGTTTGCTAAGGTTATTACAGATTCCCATTAACCCTGAGCTGCTTTTGCGTTCTAGCTGAATGTTAATCACGTTGAAGGTGGTTAGGGTTAGCCACAAAATCCTCTTTACTTTGTTGTTTAAAGGAAAGTGACACCAGTTTATGAAAAGTACCAAGATTTTCAAAAATAAGCAAAAGGGAATATATTGGATTGTTCTAATTGTACGGTGGCCCTGAGGTGCAAAACACAACACAAAAGAGAAAACACAACGGCAAATCAGAAAACACAACGGCAAATCAGAAAACTCAACACAAAAAGAAAAAACACAGCGACATTAACCAAAACGGAAATGCTAGGTACCCTCGGGCGTCAGGAATCATCTCTGATAGGACAAAAGAACTGGTCCGTCCTTTGAACCAGAAAAACGGGGTTTGTTTCCATTTTTCCAAATCATGAGCGCCACAAATGACGAGGTACACGCTGCTATTAAGCAATACTTTGATGCCGGACATGAATATGACGTGATACTGGATATGCTGTCGACATTTCACAACGTAAACATGAGTCTGCATACGCTGAAGATGCGTTTAAAAGAAGCAGGGCTGTACAGAAGACACAACTATTCCCCACTCCTTGAGGTGAGGCGTGCCATTCTGACAGAGCTGGAAGGACCAGGGGAACTCTTCGGTTATCGGACTATGTGGCAAGTTCTCCAACAAAAGCACAGGCTTCGCGTTAAACGTGATGTAGTAATGAGTACGGTGGCCCTGAGGTGCCTGTCGCCCGAGGGTACCTAGCATTTCCGTTTTGTTTAACGTCGTTGTGTTTTCTCTTTTTGTGTTGTGTTTTCTGATTTGCCGTTGTGTTTTCTCTTTTTGTGTTGTGTTTTGCACCTCAGGGCCACCGTATAATTGTGCAAAAAAGGAACACTTACGTTGAGCAGTGAGAGAAAAAAAAAACATGGTTGTGGTTCTTTTTATACCACCTTGTCATTCCCACTATATCTAGAGGTTTAAGTCAAAGAGCAACTTACTACAAATGAACATAGATGAACAGGCTGCAGAATGCAAAGAAGGCAGAGAGCGCTGAGCCGACGTAGCTGATGTAACCGAGGGTCTCAGCGCTGCTTGCATCCACCTTCAAGATTGGATTCTGGACAGAAGGAAAGCAAACAATCAAAAAGATCGGAAATGCGTTTCATGGAAATCCTGAGAAGATGGTTCTATGGCAAAGCTTTCTACTGCCTTTTATCTGGTAGAAGCTAAGCTAAATGTCATCAGTGTGTAACTGGTGGAAGATTGACTCAGTAAATGTTGTTTCATGGAAGTGAAGATAAGATGATCCATTTAGTTTAGATGCATTATCATCTTTTCCATTAGTGCGTGTCATTTTAAGCCTTTGGTAAAAGGCCTGACAGCAGCAGAAGTAGCAGTCGTACGTGATAGGTCGAAGAACTGTGTCCTTAATCTGTTGTGTCTAAGATTATGAAAGGAGGACAGATAAGATGTCAAGATGAGGAGCATTTGTGACTTTTAAAATGTGTGTTTTAAAAAAAATGCGTGGAGCATTACTTCCCAGTTCCACTGTGAAACTAATATGGATTTTCTCTTGATTGGATGCATGTTATTACTGCTGTTTTATTGCTTTTATTATAATGTCTATACTTTATATTTATCTTATCACTTTTACCTGTCATGTCCCGCACTTTATGTCAGTCTGTAAATGTCAGTCTTGTATATTTCTTGTATATTTGTATATTTCTAGTAAGAAAACGTAATTTCATTTCCCTTGTATGACTTGCACATATGGTGAAAGTGACAATAAAAGCTGACTTGACTTGATTTTATCTTCCCAAAGGTGTCAATGGAGTCGTAACTAGCCGAATTTATGCAAAGCTTGCAATGAAATAAGTTTTTGCAGCTCTTAAATAACAAGCTGCTTTTGCAGAAACAGTCCAGTTCAAAGGTAGAGAACGTCCCAGATTTTTAAATATGTTTTTTTTTGCATCATTACAGGGAGCAAGACACTGGATGATGATTATTTCAACAGAGATGGAGCTTAAAAGCACTCCTACTCCATGACACCTGCAATGAGAATATATATAACTGTGACTTAAAGTAACAGAACTAATAACTGAATTATATTTGTTATTCTGAAAAACCAGCAATTCCCCACAGACAGTCAGTGTTACGCTATCTCTGTTCTTGATTTATATCTCCACCACCGTAGACTGCAACTGTCTATAAAAAGGTTATGTTCAATAATCTGAAGCCCCAGATGAAGGACACCCTATTCCTAGGGACATTGTTCTGAACCCAGTTCTTTACTGTGGAAGGGAAGGTTCTTAGAATATGCAATAAAGGGGAGAATACGGAAGCCCAGAGCGGTCATATTCAACTTTTTTTTCCTTTGCCTTCTCAAGATAATGACATAGCTATCTTGTTATATGTTAGAAACCTGGGGCCCTAGGCAACTGCCTAGTTTAGCCTAACGGTGAATCCGCCCCTGTCTCGTTATCACGGTTAGACCATTAATTGTTTTCTCAAGATGACAAGATAATTATCTCGTTATCATGACAAAACAGTTACCGATGTCTCGAGATAATGAGCTGATTAACTTGTATGAGTAATGGATGAGGCTGGCCAACAGCCCTGGATTCCCAGTCCATCCATGCCTGCGGTGCCCGTAGTTGTGCAGTCACGCCAAATGATCCGTTTTTTTGTTTCCGTTTTCTTTTCACTCATTGTCAGATGGTGGTTGAAGATTGGATTGCACGGAATTTTGACGTTTTTTTTTTAAACGAATATCTTTAATCTGGACTCATTTTGGGGATGAATTCATCTAATTCCTGTTACAGGCGTAACACTGGGGCTGTTCAGAAAACACGCGGCGCCTTAGCGCCAAAGGCGGAGGTCTAAATGCTTATGAATCAGAAGCAAATCATCAAACCAACAACGTCGTTTCGTTACCTAAAAGTTAAACACAGAATTATTTACAGAATTTCACACAGGCTGCCATGACTTACACCTATAAATCCTCTCCCGCTGTTGTGGTATTGAAGGAAATAATCAGTTTTAACACCAATCTTCTCGTTATGACGAGAAAACGACCTTCTAATGAGAAAATAATCATCTTGTTTCACTACCGTGAAAAAGTATCAGAGGGACACGACCGCTCTTGGCTTCCATAGGAGAAACATCTTAAAGTATTAAAATTTATTACAGTCATGCTTAACAAAATCAATGATGTAACCACACAATACAGAGGAACCTTTACCTTCTATTTTAGACCTGCCTTGTTGACCACTGCTTGCCTTGTTGACTCAAAATAATATAACTGAATGTTTATATTTATATATGTGTGCGAATATGTATGTATATTTGTAGGTATGTTTACAGGTGTAAGAGTAGAATGTGTTTTATATTTGTCATATATCACGCCCGCATAAGGGTACATATGTACGTTAATATGTGTATATATTATATATGTATTTGTATATGTGTTTGTGTATTTTCTTTTTCTTTCAAATATTGGTTGTATTCTTGGTTTTGTTTTTAATGTATATATATTTTTTTAGGACACCAGGAAGAATAGCTGCAGCATAGCTGTAGCTAATGGGGATCCTTTCAATAAAAACAAAAAAAACAAAACTGCTCTTTAAAAAAGCAGAGCTTAAGTTTTCCTAAATATTTATCCCACAGAAATGCCCTGTCAGGATGTGGCCTGCGCACATCCAGCACTTTATGCAGAACAGAAGTCTAACTTAACTTTCCAGGAATATCCAGCTCTTCTCAAAGTCTATAGCTGCTAAACACAGAGTTCCCAAATAAGTTATCATAACTCAACAGCTCATCATAGGTGATCTTAAACCAATGCACTGCAAAAAAACGAAATCTAGATAAGTAATTTTTTCTTAAAATAAGTTAATTTTTCTTGGATTGAGGAGGTAAAAGAGACATTTTGCCAATGGAACAAGACAATTTACACTTTAAATAAGAAAACACAACTACATTGTCTTATTTCAAGTGCATATTATCTACTTATCTTATTTTAAGAGTAAAAATACTCTGCCGTCTGCTCTGCCGATAATGCAAGCGTAGAAGAAGAAATGTGCTGTTTACCTGTGCAAAGAAAGAAACAACGAAAGAAAAATGTCTGAGGACTTCAGTGTTGAGGAAGAGCATGAGTTCTTTGCCGAGCTGAATGCGCACTTTCATCTGGTTTGGTCTGCCGCGGTTTCCGTAGACTCGTGAACGCGCTTTTAGGAAATCCTATACACTACTGTTTATGCTCTAAAAACATTCTAAATGACTTTGTTTCGAGTAAATTCTGGATGCTACCCACTCAGGACACTTGGAATACATTGGACGAGCATTATGGAGGAATATTGACATGTTTTTTGTGGACTTTTATGGACCTTTCTGTCTCGGGCGCCATAGACCTCCATTATTTGAATGTCAGCAGACAGCAAGAAGCCTCCCAGATCTCCAGATGCATTTGAGATATCAAAAAAGTACTCCAGAGTGTTGTTCAGCATGGGGGTGAGTAGAAAATGAAGGCTAATCATGTTTTGGGTGTACTATTCCTTTAACTGTGACTGTGACTAAACCTATGTGCACACTTTCTACAAAGTATCCCGCTTTGCAAATTGCACAACTGCATCTTTGTTTGTCATGCAAAATATCTTTTGTAATACATTGAACGTTGAGCTTTATGTACCAAAAAACCGTTGCACTCTTGCATTGAAATAAAATGCTTTTCTTAGACACAAAAACATTTTTTTTTTTTTACCACAAGCACTGCAAAAAAGCTCAGATGATTACAGCTGCAGATAAATTCCTCTGCAGTTTTGGTGGTTTCACATACTTCGGTGCACCACCGGCCTGAAAGAAAAAAAAAAGAAGCATGTTTATGCTTTTGTTGAAGGGCAGGAGTTTGGTTTCTTTTACACAATGCACCTGTTTTATCTGCACCATTTGGCTCCTGCCAAAACACGCAGCGTCCGTTCTCCTGAAACAAAGGAAGATGATCAATCATAAGGAAAGCGTTTATTGTTAGGCATTTTTTATTTATTCTTTATTTACCGTTTTATTGTGGCTGAAGATTAGCTTGACCGGCTCAGGAAGGTTGCTGACTGGCTGGGTTCCAGCCTTTAAAAACAGGACCATCCCGTTTAAAACAGTTTCCTGGCTGCTGACGGGCTGCTGGGGAATCCTGCTCCTTCCTTTTCCCGCAGGTTTTTGCTGTAACAAGGAGACATGATTGACTCCTTTCTGAATCGTCTCATAAAACCAGCAAGAAGAAGACGAATAGTAGAAAGGTCTCTGCCTTGCATCAAGTTTTAAGGATTTTTTTATTGTCACACCATTTTGCATTTGCCATTTGATTCGATTCATCAATTTCCTGACCGAAAGATAAGATTATTTTTCATACTCAAGAATACACCGTGATACAATTTGTTTTGATTAATTGGTTAATTGTTTTTTTTTACCTTACAGGCTAGACAATGTTTCAAATTTGAAATAAATCAATGAAAGCTGTTATATCTTTATGCATTTTATTAGGAACAACAGCATATAACAGAAGTAGCAAAGTTGTACTCCACCAAGGCCTATGAAAAGCTCATACACTGAAAATAATAATGCCTCTGAAAGGCCTTCCATCAAAAAATACTATATAAATGCACTAGCAGATTAAGTAACAAAAACAGCCCAATAACAAGACACTCAACACTCAACAAAATCAGTTCAATGGTAGCAAAATACAGGCCTGCACTTCCTTCACTATGAAATGAAATACTCCACAAAACTCATAGTGATTGTGTGCAATGATGTGGGGTCAGATGCATTATCCGCAGTGTTGGGTACGTTACTTTGAAGAAGTAATTAGCTATAGTTACTAGTTACTTCTCCCAAAAAGTAACTGAGTTAGTAACTGAGTTACTTTACTTTTTACTGTCAAAAAAAAAAAGAAAAATTTGGAAAGGCATTTCCAGGGAAGGCTAAATCTGCAGCCCACCACCAAGCTGGGAGGGAGAGGAAAAATTGTGATTGCAGGATAAATTAGAGGAATGCAAAGATACATTTAAGAAGTGGATTCCATTTCCAAACTACTGCTGCTAGTTTGGTTGCACAGATGGAAAACCGTCCACAGATCAAACAGGCAAGGCTTAGATGCAGGTATCTGAACTTTCTTCCATTTTTTCCCCAAATCCTAAAAATATTAATCAGACCAAGGAACAATGGTGACGGAGGATGTGGGATTTTGTGGCTTGGTTCCTCATGACTCAATAAACTCCTCCCAACAGAAACACGTCCACCATAGAAAGATTTCTTTATTGTGTTTCTATAATTTCATCATTGCAAGAAAACTTAAACCGCGTGGTGAAGGTGGTGAAGCGGCGCTCGGTGAAGCGGGGCGCGATGGGAGCGTTCACTGTTCCTCCGTCACCTCAGGCTACAATGTGACATTTGCTTCAGGATAAACATTTAATCCTGAATGCTTATTTTATATTTAAGCCCATATAGTCATTTTCTATAGTGGGATAAAACACTTAGAGCCCGTGTTGCTATACGAGGCTGATATAAGGCTTTTACATTTTTGCGGCTCCAGACAGATTTTTTTTTTTTTTGGTCCAATATGGCTCTTAGAGCAGTTTGGGTTGCCGACCCCTGGCCTAAAGGAAGCGACGTAACTAGGGCAAAATAGGTTTAGCGCCACCTCAGCGCGGGAGTCAGAATTATGTCCAGGAGCAAATGGATAAAAATAGACCGGAGGGAGAAAAAAAAACATGAATTAATAATCTTGCGGACGTGTCGCTGCATCGGATCGTCGGACGTTGGATCGATGCATCGATACAAAACGATTATTATTTACACCTCTTCATGTTTGGCTTAAGGAATCTGGACTCATGGTTCAATAAGCTTAATATTATAGAAAGAAAGAGAAATAGATGGAATTAAGCGTGGCTCAAGGGTCTGAGGGAAGCTGCTACCTACAGTACCGCCTGCAGCCTTTACCGCCCTATTCAGAGCAGTGGCGAGCTACCGTGCAACACTTGATATCACAGATCACTTTGTAAGAACATAGTTTATACAAGTGCATAAAGGTTATTGCATTTGTTGGCTCACAGGATCCCACCTGAAAAAGAGTGCTGTTGATCACAGAGACGACCAGCTGGACAGTTTCCCCGGAATCTGCTCCTCTGCTTCTCTGAAGAGCTGAGGCGGGACTTGGATCCTGTGACTGGTTGTAAGTCTGGTCTCAGCCTTAAAACCAGAATCACACACAACAGCATGAGTTTTACACAGAGTGATGGTCAGTTATATTTAAGAATATGTCCTGTGAAGTTATTTATGTTCTAAAAACAATTCTGAGCATCCCATCAGTCTGTTAGGGATCAGCAGTTTCATATTTCTATTTATTCTAATGATTGTTGTTTACTGAAGATCTAATGGACACAATGTTTAGTTTCTCAGGAAATGTCAAAATTACAAATGTGGTAAGCTTCACAATCATGAGGTTGACTACTAATGGGAGTTTGAACAGCCACCTGCAAGATGGATAATTAGCCATAAAAGGCTGTTGAATAAGTTTGCTGCTAAGAGAGCAGTTTTTTTTTTTTTTTTGCATATCAAGAGAAGGTTTTAGGGAAAGAGATTCACAAGACTTGATGCACAGTTAGAAGCCTTTAATACGGAAATGATCAAACCTTTCTGTGTTAAAGACAGCACCAGAAGCACCATACTTGGTATGAGGAGAAGAATGGACCGTGTCATACACTGGAAAAACGATCTAGAAATAAGTAGAAATTTCTTAAATTAAGTGTATTAACCCTTATTTTGAGTAGGTAAATGAAATGATTTGCCATTGGAATGTGTACTGTTGCTTTTAAAATAAGATATTTAGATAAAAATGCACTTAAAATAAGACAATGCATTTGCGTTTTCTTATTTTAAATGTAAATTGTCTTGTTCCATTGGCAAAATGTCTCCTTTTTACCTCCTCAATTCAAGAACAAATGCACTTATTTTAAGAAAAAATTACTTATATAGATTTTGATTTTTTCCAGTGTGTGATGGGCTGCCATTGTGTGGTACCCGGAGAGCAATCAGGGGTTAAGGGTCTTGCTCAGGGACCCATAGTGGAGGCTGTGAGGTTTGAACCGGGTACTTGCAACCTTCTCAGAGCACAGAGCACTGCTCTAACAACTAGGTCAACACTCCCTTTTTAAACAGAAAGTATTTCACTGCAAAATGATCTCAAAATGAGTACAAATTTTGTCTATTTACCCTTAATTTGAGCAGGTAAATAAGATGATTTGCCGATGGAATTAGTATTTTTACTCTTAAAATATGGTATCTAGATAAAACGCACTTGAAATAAGACAATGCAATTGTTTTTTTCTTATTTTAAGTGTAAATTGTCTTGTTCCATTGGCAAAGTGTCTCACTTAAATCCTTAATTCAAGAAAAAATGCACTTATTTTAAGAAGAAATTACTTATTTAGATTTCTTTTTTTTTTTTTTTTTGCAGTGTTTGGATATATAAAAATTCTTACTTTCATAATTTGGAGTCATAGAGTTCACTTTGGGCCCCAACAGCAGCAGATGACATGTCACCCTGACTCATTGCATTCCTGGTTGTTACTCAAGGTGTCACCACATCTGCTGAGGTTCATCCAACGGGTGTTTAGAGTTCATGATCACACTGGAAAAAAATCGAAATCTAGAGCGGTAATTTTTTTCCTAAAATAAGTGCATTTGTTCTTGGATTGAGGAGTTAAAAGAGACACTTTGCCAATGGAACAAGAAAATTTACACTTAAAATAAGTAAACACAATTGCCTTGTCTTATTTCGAGTGGATTTTATCAAATTATCTTATTTTAAGAGTAAAAAAACTCCTTCCATTGGCAAACTATCTTATTTACCTGCTCAAATTAATGGCAAATAGACTCAAATTAAGAAATTTTTACTTATTTCTAGATCGTTTTTCCAGTGCAACGCAGCCATCTACAAGGACATTTCAGAGCACTTGATGCTTCTTTCTGCAGACAGGTTCTATGGAGATGCTGGTTAGATTTCCCCACAGTTTATACAGCACCAGAACACACTGTTAAATGTTAAATTAATAAATTTAAAGGCTGGTTTAATGACCAAGGTATTACTGTGCTGTATTGGCCAGCAAAACTGTCCGGACCTGAATGATATAGAGCAGGCATCCCCAACCTCGGTCCTCGAGGTCCGCGGTACTGCAGGTTTTAATTGAAAGCTGATTAACAGGCATTTGGTCTACTGCAATCATTATAATCAGCTCTGCTAAAGCTGGGAAACCTCTGAAACCTGCAGGACAGGGGGCCTCGAGGACCGGGTTTGGGGACGCCTGATATAGAGCCCCTTTGTAAATGAGAGACATTGGACCCAGAAATACACCGAGTCCAAAGTAACAAGAGCTTCCTCAACATCCCAGCAGAACCACAGGCTGATCTCCTCAATTTCCAGCTGGATTATAGCAGAAGCTTAGAGGGTGAAAGTTCTGTAAGGTACGATCCAAACCTTTAAGTCGTCTGCCATTTAGTGTACCAAGTATCTTTGTTTATTGTTTGTTTGTTTTTTCTGAGAATAATAATAGAATAAATGTTCAAAACTGAAAAAAAAACAGATATTTTTCATGTGTTTGAGGATCTCACCAAACATTTTTGTCTATGATCACATTAACCTTACCTCCAGTGAAGGGTCCACCTCCATCCGAAAGAAGCCAGATAGCCGACCTCTGCTCGTGCAACTCACAATTCTATCCTCATAACACCTACAGGGAAACGTTTCAAATATTTTATTCAAATAGGTATAAAAAGGGTTGAAACAGTAACTGCATACATGAGCCAAAATAAATATGACCTGTCAACAGTATCTAAACACAGGTAAGAATACAAAGTGATAGAATAAAGATGGAAATGCAGAAAATTAGAAAACATGATCTTGCTGCTTAGATCACATATATAAACAGGGATTAATTACTGCAAAAAATTATAATAGAAAGCTTTTAGAGACTAAGAATAAAAGCATGAAATAAAATCTATCAGCATGTCATCGGCGGCATAATTTACCTGCTCCAATTGAAAGGTTGTTGCAGACAGTTAGAGAAAACATTTTCACAAAGCTCTTTAAAACAGAAAGAAAATAGGAAGAAGTCAGAAGTTTACAAATGAAACAAAAATCACAGCTGAATAAGCTGATTTATCATCACTTTAAGTATTTAAAATTTTACTCATTTACCCCAAAATAAAATAATTTCCCAAATGAGAAGAACATAGTGTACAGAAGTTTGCTGCGGGTTTTACGACCATCATCATCTTAGAAAAACTAATTGCATAGATTGTTGGAAAAATATAGGATACAGTTTTTCAATGAACATTTACTCCATGAAACATTTGTTCTGCTCTTTCTTCTTCTACACTGTAAAACCGACAACTCAAAATTGTTCACCTTACTAAGATTTTTGCATTCACTGACAATAAAATTGCCAGATGGAACTTGAACTGTCTGTTGTGAGCCAGTTGAACTCACTTTCATAAGTTTCTGATGAAAAGTTCATCTTATTCTATAAATTAAGTTGAGTTTACTTTGAAGTTGTAGTTGACACCCAGTCCGAGCGAGGTCAACTTATCTGCGCATGCTCATTTCAAATTAGTCATGGCAACCGGCTGCTACGGGGTTAAAGGTAACTTACAAAAATGTAAGTTATTACAGGGGATGGTAATCTGAATTTAAAAATAACTTTTTACTGATAATCTGAACTTAAAATAATAAGTTTTTACAGACTTGAAAGTTCCACACTGGAAAAAATCTAAATCTAGATAAGTCATTTTTTCTTAAAATAAATGCATTTATTCTTGGATTGAGGAGGTAAAAGAGAAATTCTGCCAATGGAACAAGGAAATTTACATTTAAAATAAAAAAAAAGAATTGCATTGTCTTATTTCAAGTGCATATTACCTAATTATCTTATTTTAAGAGTAAAAACACTCATTCCATTGGCAAACTATCTCATTTTTCTGCTCAAATTAAGGGTAAATACACTTAATTTGAGAGATTTTTTTACTTATTTCCAGATCGTTTTTCCAGTGCAGTAACTTGAATTAAAAAAACTTAGCTGACACAACTTAATAAGTGTAGTTCTACAAAACTTAAAAAATTAAGTTGATGCCTTCAACTCAAAAATTCTGTGCAGTCGGTTGCCTTGAAATTTTGAGTTGAACTAACTTTTTCGTTTTTACAGTGTATTGTTAGGTTTGGAATAATAGAATTAAGCTTTTAAAATAGAGAAATTACAGTGGTTTTTTTTGTTTTGTTTTTTTTTTTTACAATTTTGACTTTTTCACACTGGAAAAAATGGAGAAATAAGTAAAAATTTCTTACATTAATTGTATTTACCCTTAATTTTAGTAGGTAAATGAGATAGTTTGCCCAATGAATGAATATTTTTACTCTAAAATAAGATAATTAAATAATATGCACTTGAAATAAGACAATACAATTGTGTTTTCTTCTTTTAGGTGTAAATCGTCTTGCTCCACTGGCAAATGTCTCTTGTACACTGCAAAAACGATCTAGAAATTAGTAAAAATGTCCTAAATTAAGTGTATTCATTCTTAATTTGAGTAAAGTAGGTAAATGAGATAGTTTGCCAATGGAATGAGTAATTTTACTCTTAAAATAAGATAATTAGATAATAGGCACTTGAAATAAGACAATGCAATTGTGTTTTCTTATTTTAAGTGTAAATTGTCTGGTTCCATTGGCAGAATGTCTCTTTTACCTCCTCAATTCCAGAACAAATGCACTTATTTCAAGAAAAAAAAATGACTTATTTAGATTTAGGTTTTTTTTCCAGTGGTTCAAGAGGATGTTTATAATTTGAAGAAAAATATTCCAGAAAAAAACAGCAAAAACTATTGAAATCTAAATTTTTATGGTATCTATGGTTAAAAACTAGTAATTTTGCTATCATTCTGACTAAAAACCCTAACAAGGTTTAAAGAGCTACTTGTGGCTGATCAGGAAAGGGATCAGGTTTCTGATCCCTTGTCTGAAATAATCTAGATAACGTTTAAATTGATGTTTAAGATTAAAACCATAGAATACTCACCAGCTTTGGTTGCAGAGAGGCAGAATGTTAGGAGATAAATAGTTATCCACGTCATATCTGATTCTGCCAAGTTAACAATAATTTGAGGCAGAAGAAAAGTGGTTGAAGATTCCTCGCAGGAGAGAATAGTAGCTTTCACATCTGGATTGATTACATGTGCAGAGAGCAGGGACAGACAGCTTAGTACAGGAAATAACGTATAATAGATGTGGGCAGGTCCTTTGCTTTGCAGATGGAATATTATGTAACAGCCAAGGATTTAGGCACGAGCTATGAGATTGATCAGCTTGTTTAAAAAAAATACACTGCAAAAATGATCCTAAAGTGAGTAAAAATATCCTTAAAATAAGTTTAATCACCCTTAATTTGAGTGGGTAAATGGGACAATCTGCCCATTGGAATGAGTGTATTTAGCCTTAAAATAAGAAAATCAGATATTATGCACTTGAACTTGAAGAGACTGCAGTTGTTTTTTCTTATTTTAAATGTAAATTGTTTAATTCAATTGGCAAAGTATGTCGCTTACCTGTTCAATTCAAGAACAAATGCACTTAATTCAAGGAAGTTTTACTTATTTAGTTTTAAATTTTTTGCAGT